GGGGGGTCTTGGATGATCATGTCTCTCCCAGTAATTTGGAAGTAGAGCGCGGTCTCTGATAAAGTGGTAGAGAAGGGAGTAACAATGGTAGGTGGAATTAGGGAGGGAAAACATGCTGGAATTCGCTCTCGCTCTCCATCCACCAGCGGCCTGGACAATCAATCTACCCAAAGTTTCCCTCGGGCACGCGGTCTCAGACCATGACTATCCATTTCTTCGACAGCATGCCATCCTTGGCATGGGGGAGAGACACGCGAATCTTGGCAATGCTGCGAGATACGCAGGGCAGACTGAGACCTTGACGCGGATGGTGATGGACTGGCCCGCTGGCATGCGGCCACATGACATTGACACTTGCGGTCTTTGGCTTCGGCTCGGCCAGCGTCCCGCTGTTTCTTTCTCCCTCCTCTGTCACTAACGCAAGCTCTTTAAGACACCTAGGGGCACAGACTTGCAGCCTCGTTTCCGGTTGTGAGACCTGGGGAGGGGGTGAGATGCCCGTGTTCAGTAAACACTGATCCGCCCCCCACTGGCTTTCTCACCGGCTCAATTGTTTCTTCTGGTATTGTTATCTTAAAACACCCCCCCAGAGTTCATTGACCGAGCGCTGTTTCTCTTTTTTCTGTTGGTTTCTAGCACCAAAAAAAATACCTTTCTAATTTACAAGGCTGAAATGATGGGCGTGGGCGGCGTTTTCTCCCAAACCACCCCCTTCAACTCGACCCTCGCTCGAGCAAACTTCGTCCCAGCGCTGCACTTCTCAGCATGTCGATCGAATTTACTTTCTCACCTGGTGCTGCTCTTTCTCGAACTGTCCCCTTCTCTAGCGTGTGCCCAACGTTGCCGCATCCGGGGATAACCCCCCCCCTTTACAATCCCTCGGGTCGAGCCCTCCCATTCCGCAGCGGACCGAGATGGATGAATAGGGAAGCAGGTTCTCCAGTCTCTGGAATTCTGATAGATGAAGGGGGGAGTATGGAAAACGTTTCATCCCTCCTTCTACCCTCCCTATGATGTCTCGATTCCTGCACTCTCTTCGCAAGAGCTGGAATGTGGCTGGCGCACTATTTCGCCGGCCGGGTCCCTCCGAGATGCTAGTATCCCCGAGTCAGCCGCCGCCGGGGAAAAGAAGAAGAGGGCAAAGAATGGGTTTGCCATTCCCGTGGGACGCGCCCACGCGAGAAAGGGGGTGTTGGTGCTCGTTGGTTCGGTGAAGTGTACACAGTATGAGCGCGCCGCCAAAACACTAGGGCAAAGGAGGGGAGGGGGCGTGCGGTGCCGGTCGGTCACAATATGTGAGAACGGGCATTACGAACACGGGAGAGGAGACCGTCTCCAGCAAGGAGTCGAAACGGACAAAAACCCTAAAATGGAGAAAGAAGGGAGTTGCCGTGACCCGGTGCCCTCCCCAGGTCACCGAGGCGTTTGACTTTTTGCCTCGTCTGGAAGCCAAAAAAAAAAAGAGGCGGCTCTCCATCTGGGGACCATCGTCCAACCCCGTGACGTCCGCCGGTGGCCAGTTCGTTGGGGCATGATGGGAAACCCAAAACCGCTCCGAGCGTCAAGGGACTCGGGGCAGGCAAGCAGCAATCATGTGTTCCCCCCCTTTAGTCCGTGCTCGGGGAGCTATATTGGCATGTTTGCGAGGCTGACCCCGGCTATCACCTTCTATTGGCCAGAGCTCGTCGAGTTAGCTCAAGGCTATTCACGAGCCAAGAGAGCACGGCCAGAGCAGAGGAGGGGTCCGGGCATGGCAAATTCGGGATGCTGAGGGGAGGAGGAGGGGAAGGGGGAGGGAGGTGAGGGGCAATGGCAGGATGGGGCGGATCCAGCCTCGGTGAGCCGCAGCCCTCCTTCACCTTGTTTATTGCGCGGCTGCAAATTGCGCCCGTGCGTTGAGATAGATGGACGTGATTCGACTCAAGGGCAGCCTTGGCAGAGGAGGAGAGGAGTCTGTCTGCTCTTGACACAGGCGGGTGGGCACTAGCTTCCTCTGGGCAGATATCCTGAGTCGGCCGGAAATGGAGAAATACACGGACACGCCGAGGGGACGGGCCTGGCCTCCCTCCCATGGCGTGGACTTTGCTTTCGTCCAGTGCAAAAGTGAGTTTGCTGGAGCCCGCTCCGGCGGCGGGCTGTTCGCCGGGCCCAAGTTAGTAGCGATGGGCCAAGGGTCCGGCCGTCGAGTGGCGTTGGCTGGCCTAGAGGACATTCGGGTGGCTCTATTGGAACGTGTGAGGGGTCCAGCAGAAGTTAATGGGTGCCCGTTAACGGAGGCTCTTATTGAGGCAAGGCTGCGTAACCCGACTCTGTCTGTGAGCATCTGTTCAGCCGACCTGACCTGGCCCCCTTCTTCTAACCAGGACAAAGTAAAAGAGCCGCGTGATCGTGGTAACTACTGAACACATATCCCAGCAGGGCTAGCACTGCGAGCCGAGAGAGAAGTTTCGTAAGTAAGCTTTTGTTCACACTCTTGGCTGTTGGCGCTAAAGCGGCTACATTAGCCGGCATCTTACACCCACCATCTGATGCAGTGAGTTGCTCCCTGATCTCGACACGCTGCAGGAATTTGGATAGAGGGGCAACACACGGAATCGGATTCTTCGGTAGAGTTGACTGGGGTTTCCCTCCGGATACATTCCAACTAGGTAGTTAACAAAACCCGTTTATCACAAGGGGTCCAGCCAACAAGAGGCTGCAAATCAGAGATCGAAACAGTCTTGCCCAGTAGCAGTACCCCGCCTGTAATCTGAATGGTGTGAGCTGCTTAGAAGACATGCGCCTGAATTGCCACCGCCAGCTGTGATGGTTGAGTATAGTGGCCTTTCCTCTATAGACTCGTTTATACTGGATCTGACATGTAGAACTAAGCAGGAACTCAAGGTTATTTGGGATTTGAAGAGGAAGAAAAGGGCATTTCCTATTCCTCGAGGATCAATATATTCTTTCAAATTACTTGACTTGAACATCAAGAAAAGTCAATTGTTTGGAATTAAAGTTGATGAGATGGGTTTAGTCTTAATCACAACCAACCGCAAGCGGCATCTTAGACGCGATGATGCCATAGTGAACAAATCGGTCGAAAATAATTGCCTGGCACTTTTTCAATCATCTTATTCCTTTCATTGCTTCCGTACCTGACATTCTTTCCGTTTTCATCAATGACGCAAGCCCTCGTTCCTGTGACGATGTTCTTATTTGATCAGCAGCTTTAGGGTAGCCCAACCTCAGAACTCCGAGCGCCATATTCGAGGACGGATCCGACCAAGACCAACAACTCAGCAACATGACGATCCCATCGGTGCCCAGAGCTGGCAACGACAGTACTGCTAATTGAACAAACTTCCACACTGGAGAAAATACCAAGTACAACAACCGAAGGCAACGATACTGCCTGATAGACTATCAAGACCGAGCGGTGCTGGTCCCGGAGTTGGTTGCATTGGATGTTGCGAACTAACTCGATGAGCTCTCTCTATATTTCTAGCAACAATCCAGGATCTTCCGCTTGATGGAGGCTTACTTTTAGACGTTCCATCCCGCTGAAAACCATATCCGCGACTGGTTCCACGAGTTGCGCCGTGCGCTATCCCGCTGCTTCAGCTTCAGACTCCGGACGAGCATGATTCCTCGACCGTGGAATCTTTCCACCTGACTTTCCTTCGAGGAAATAAGGGCCATTCTCTGTGTAATATCATCATTCATTTCTGCTTGCAGAGAAGTTGAGTTTGCGCTTCGAAGAGTATAGCGATTTACACGACCGCGCCGAGTCCTCGACCCCCATCTTTGCCACGAAACCGGTACGATGATACAACGTTACGTGATAAATAGTAAAGAAAAGGAGGGAAGAATACTGCCAGGGCCTAATCGGCTAGCCTCCTACGCAGGCCTCGAAAGCGGTCGCGTATAGGTACCCTAAAGGACAAGTTGATCGAGCTCCAACACCAATCACACCTTCGACCGCTTAGCCCCATCCTACGATGTCCCGAGAACGAGCAGTTCTCCAAATGGAAAGCTCAATACTTCGATATTCGCCAATCAGTCTGATCTTTCTTTCCGGTCACTGGCAGGTCGTGGGACTCTGGGCGTATGGGCGTTCTCTTTCCAAACCTGCCAACTCCACAACGTTGTCTCTCTGTGACCGGCTTTAGCTTGGCCACGATCCATACCCGACGTTGAAACTTGCTTTGGGAAATACTGTAATGGCTTGCTTCTTGTCGTGACCATTGAATCATGATAGGTGTAGTTTGCCTCGGGTTTTTAAATTCGTAGAGAGGACCATAAGTGACAAACACCACAACCGTTCCTTGCTTTGATCAGGGCTAAAGGGAGAAAAAGTGACACCCGTACGGCCGATCATCAAGTTTCACAAGTCTGGAACGTCCCCAAAGTAATTCTGACGCACCCTGATCTGTGCTGTGACATCAATGCTCCCTCGCCAACTACCCGAGCATAACCACCAGTGGGCAAAATCTCGCACACATGCTGGCACTTCAACCGTGCTGTTCTAGAACAGCAAAACTTACTAGCATATTAAATCTTGTATGGTGAGCTCGCCATCAAGATTGACCACGGCTTTCGCCTAGCTTTTGTTTTGACTCCGTTGGCTTTTGCCGTCGCTGGCGTCGACCAAGAACGGATAATTTGCCTTTAGATTGGCTCGTAATTCCTGACTTGCCACCTCCGGTCAACAGTCTTCTGCAAGGACGGAGGTCATAAGTAGATATGGCTACAGCACTAAAAAAATGTTGTCTTGTTTGTTCAATCTATACCGTTATTGCCCGAAATTATGTGTGGTTATGCTAGCCGATTATCCCTTGTCCCATGTATGTGGTATATCCTTTGCCTAACCTCGCTCATCGCCAGGTCTACTTCCTGGACGGCCCGAGGGTCTAATCCCAAATTGCTAACATGAGTTTATCATCGCATCGTAATCCAGCCCGCTTCTAGTCCCGCTGAAGAAGGCTGCTCAATGTGCACTAGGTGCACTGCATGTCGTATTATACCAACCCACCGAGGCAGACATGGCTCTCTGGCGTGCTCGCGTCCACCACCTCGTATCGATTTCCATTTCTCAACGCAACGAACTTTCTCTCGGCCGTGATGCCCTGCTCATTAAGCATTCTCCACGTGGGGCCGAGACGTCGAACCATGACCGGCTGCCATCCTCCTACGTTGATGATGATCTGTTTCCATGGCCGAGTCGGATCCCTTTTTGCTCGTGATCTGGTCAGATTGAGAAACACGCGCATAGCCTCCTTCGCATCGAGATCCACGCCCTCCGGGTTGTAGTCCATGGGACATATCACTGTCTGGACGTGGAGAGTCAAGGTTTGTAATCGACTGAATTGGGAGACGGCCTCCAGAAAAGGGTCGGATGGGCAATTGGCGACATCTAAGTCGATTTCAAGGGAATGTAGGAAAGGAAGAGTTTGCGCAAGGGCGCAGATGTCAGAAGCTTGCAGAGTTGGACAAGTACGATCTTCATCGCGAAACCCGACGTGATCCCTTAGCTTTAGTCTCTGTAGTGACTTAGCGTGCCCCCGGAGCGATTGGAGGTCAAAATATTTCATGTGGCAGGTTATCTCGAGGGTATCCAAGGCGTAGATATGGTTTCCAATCAACTGGGAGAGCATTTGCGTCGCCTCCAAACGACGATCCGGCATATGGCTGCTCCAATCATCAACTCGTAGCTCTCGGAGGCCCCTTAGGTCTTGGAATGAGACGGTGCTGAGAAAATTGAAGATTGGAACAGAGATTAAACCCAAAGTTCTTAACCTGGAAAAATCCCAATGTTGCTTCACATCTTCTGCACTATGCTGCCAATCGTATGATGTGAGAGATAGATCAATGAGCGCTGGCATGCGCTCATCAGGGCTCTGGAAGACGAATTGAGTGCCCTGTCCTCGATCCTCATACTGAAGAGTTTCCAATCGGGAGCTCTTCAAGAGTAGATTCTTTAGGGGCTTTAAGTTGGTGACCAGGAGCGTGCTCGGATGAACCAGCTTGAGTGACACAAGCATGCTGCTCGGGATGGCCCGCTGGTATGCGTCCTCAATGGGAGCTTCGTAATCGCATAAAGGTAGCTCGCTCACATAGAGACGAGTCTTTTGAGCGCCTCTCTTCTTCGGATCTAGAAGCGTGGATGGCCACATCTTGTCGATATCGACATGGCTCTGGTGTAGTGACCATCTGGTATCGAAAGTTAGTCATCAACACACTGAGGAGCTGGAAGGGCGTGCAGGGAGATCAAAGTGAGGGGGCGACTGACTTGATAGTTACGAGTCTCGGAATACGCTCGAGAACTGTCCTAATTCGTGTGGGATCGAGGTTACCCCGAATCGCTACATGCCTTGTAAAAGCTCGGATGTGTTCAAAGGCACGGGGCAAGATAGATTCAGCTGATGTGGAGAGTAGGCGATGGGTTAGAGTAATGGTGTGATACGCAATTGGTGTGGCAATGTCGTTGAACCTCTGACAAACCAATCGCACCTGAAAGAGGTAGACGGGATTAATGTCGCATAACTACCACACGAGTCAGTCCTCGTGTCTTCCTGTCTCACAATGTAGGTACAAAAGTCTGTATTGCGCACCTGCTTGAAGATGAGCTGTATCAATTCGGGGCCCAGGCACGAGAAAGAGGGTGGAGCGGCGGGAGAAGATAGGTCCATGAATCGCGGGATGTTGACAAGGCGTAGTGCCTCTCGTACGGCTGCAGCTGCCGCTGCCGTCGTTACAGTAGCCACTGTTGTGCTATCTGTTCATCGAGTAAGCACTCGAGCTTCAGCATCGACGTGGTTTGATAATCGAGGCCGGAGAGATAGTGACATGAATAGAAATCGAAAGGAAAAGGAAGCGAGATCGGGAACGATGAGGAGTAGGATGGAGCCAATGAAGCCAGAGAAGAGGGAACATAGATAGACGGAAGAGGCGAGCAAGGTGGAGGTGTAGGAGATGGCTCGAAGCGAGCTTGGGGCACAATTGGGGACGGATGGGGGGAACGATGGAGCAACCTAGAATGGGGCCACACAGGCATGTAGACGAGGAAGCAAGCAAGCCGAGCATGAGGCGAGTAGGGCAGGATGCAGGAGACCGAGCAAGCAGTTGGCACTACAGCCAAAGGGCCAAGCAAGGAAATGAAAGCAGTCATATTTGTGGATCGAATGGGGTGGGGGGATATGCAGACAGAGCCGTTGAACTGCTTTGATGAACGGTTGAGGGAAATGGGACGAGATCAGCAAGTCCACATGGGACCATATATGCCATCCCGTATATAGGTAAGATGGGGGAGCTGTCACTTCATCTCGTACTGTACGTGTGTGTACAGTGTGTTCATGTGGGGGGTAGAGGAAAGGAAGTGGCGGAATAACACATACTACTTATAGAGCCAGTACCTGGCGATGCCGAAAAGGAGAACATGGCGGGTGGTTTGGAGGATAGAGCCGTCATGTCTAAAGACTGATACAATAATGGGTTCTCCCCAGGGCTAAAGCTTGATTTGACGAACATGTGGGAGGGGCATACACCACACTCTAGGAAGGGGGCTTGGGGGTTGCGCCGGATGATTGCTGGACGAAGCTGGAAAGATGATACCGGCCGGTTTAGGGCTGTCCGGGGTCTGTGTTGGAAGGGAGCCGGTGCCGGGAATGATGGCGGTGGTGGTCTTGTTGGTGCTGGTGATCCTTGGGATATATACTGGTCCGTCTTGGTCGAGGGCGACGGGTCCCTGGATGGATGACGAATCGCTGGTAGCAGCTAGCGTATGCTCGCACACGCCTACCTCCCCGGTCAAGGCAGGTCAATGGTGGATTGATCAAGATGCTGATGATGATGATGATGATGATGATGATGATGATGGCCAGCTGTCCGACTGTATGTAGTAGATGTGTAATAAAGGGATGTGACAAAAGAGGAGAGTCGGGCGAACAACGGGTCGCAAGGGACGCCAGCAACGGAGAGGGAAGCTTTCCTGATCCTCTCGACGATGACTGGGCAGCAGGGAACAGGTGTGGGATGAATAGACGGGGAGAGGTGGATAGAGAGAGGGACGACCATGTGCTGGTGTGTGCTGAGCAGTGGGAGCAGGGAGGTAACGAACGGAATTGGGCTTCGGGGAGGGCGGCATCAACCACTACTTACGGTGCTTCCTCAGAAGGACAAGAACGCATCAATCAATCAATGGGATATTTTCCTCATTGACACGGGCATATTGACCGTGGCTGGTGGGGTTTTTATGCGCTGATGCGATGCGATACGTGCACCGACTGGACGGGAAGAAGCAAAACCTTGCAGAGGGTGGCAGATCTGTCTGCAGCGACGGTCATATCAGGTACTCATAAGAAGACTCGTTCACGGCAGTAATACGTACCGGATCACCTGCCACAACTATATACACCCATGGGCTACGGGGAGGGCGGGAGGCAGACCCTTGCTCGGTCAGGAGCCAAGTCGTCGTCGGTCAGACGTTGGGGCCGTGGTGGTAGCGGGAGTCTGGTAGGTACCTAATAAGCGAGGCGCGGATGCAGCTAAGAATGCACGGAAAAAGTAAATATAACATCCATAACCATGTACTACACACTGAAGAGGCAGCGCTCGAAAGCTAGGACGAACTCTATGGGACCGAAGGATGGTTGGAGCCAACTGAAGGAAGTGAGCTGAGCTGAGCTGAGACTGACTGAAGGCCGCACGGTGAAATCAAATCAAATCAAATGGAGGAGGGAGGGGTGGAGATGGGACGATGAGGTAGAGTCAGTCGTCCCGAGAAGGGAATGTATGCGGCCCTGGCAGGACGTGCCTGCCTTCCTCGCGGCTTGCACCTCTCGCTTGCCTGAGGCAGAGGCAGCGAGTGGGTGGATGGAGTAGGCAAGTGCCCAGAGCCGTGCCTCCCTCGCCTGGCAGCACTACTAATCAACTGGAATGGAGAATGCATGGAAGGCTTCAATCCTCTGCTGCTATTAGGATGTGCTTTGCTGCGCTGGCTTGGTGAGATTGGTTAAAATGCCTGTTCGCAAGACTATCCCAAAGAGGTATTTCTTGAGGGCTGCCGCCAATGACATCCGGCACCCGCTTTTGGCGCTCTCGCCCCAGCAGCTGGAGGGTCTTTGCCAGACCGATGCCTGCCCACATGTCATATGGATGCAATAAGACCAATCGCCTATCGATGGTCTGTCAATTGCTTCTCCATCCCTCTGCTCTCTCGCCCTTGGTCTTCCGTCCTGAGCGACCGGCAGTGCTCCATCCCAAGCGCTAGTCTCTCGTGGGCAGAGCGTACTCATGGGCAAGACATCCAGAACAATGCGTGCGTTGTAGCACCTCCCAGTACCACGCAAATACCACATATCCACTCCGCGGTGCTCGTTCTGGTTCTGAGCAGCCAAATTATTTCCCGAGACAAGGCAGGGATGCGAGATGGGGCATGGGGTAGCCAGGTAGCCAGCTAGCTGGCATGGCGACAATAGAAGCAATGCATGGCATATGCAATAAAGGTATACTATGTCTAGTTCCGACCATGATCCTGATAACGGCCCGGGAATCTGCTAGAAGACCGCCCTTTTGCATGGGCCGTAGACCCGCTCGCTCTGTCTACGCGAGCGACGGGCGTCCACTGGATATTGGAGACGACTCAATGGTTGATGTGTCCATCCTCTTTGCAGATGGTGGTTTCCACCCGTCTGGAAACGATCTGACTGGCCGCCACCATCGCAGTAGACCTAGACCTATTTCCCACTTGTCAAACCACTGGACCGGTTCCCAGTCTCACCTGACGCCAGAACAGTGACGCGGCGACCGAAACTCGCCTGGGCTTGCTTGACTTCGGGAAATATTGCTAAAATATATTTGACCGACCAGTGCCCGTTGCAACGTCAGCTCCAGAGTGGCATGGCATGATGGACTTGTCGTATGTTGTGTTTTACCTTGGCATCCGATGACGTTCCATCACCATCAGGACTGTGGTTTGACATCATTCCACAAGGTCCCGGCCCTGTCGGTTCGCGGAGAATTCATCATTTGCGGTGACCTCTCCCTACAGAGGTACCCAGGCAATGCCAAAGGCTATATGATACCCACAGCGACAAATCTACCACCCGAAGCCCCTGTTCATGCGCCCACCCGAGCCGTTAAGAAAGAAGCTGTGGGTAATTAAGTGGCCCTTTCTTTTCGTTGCCTTGGGCTTGGATCTAACGACCAACATCTCGCAATCATTTCGATATTGGGTTTAATCGACCATGCAGCTAGCCAGAACCCTTGCCAGAGCGAGCCAACAGAAGAGTAGACCTGACCGGGTTTTCTCTGCATTGTTGGTTCTTGCTTGGCTCGGGGAAATTTTCGTGTCAGACAATCTGGCAGATCAATCACCAATGTCAATGCAAGCCCTCCAACCTTGTCCTCATTCCCTGGACCCTGACTCAACACAGCGGCTGTCGTCTCGTCTTTCCAAGGTCTAGGCTCGCTTTCACTTCCGTTCCAGGCCAGCTATCTTTTTTTGGCCTCTCTTGCATCACCGGCGTTTTCTTTCTTCGCCCACCTGTCTTGGTCGGTGGCATTTGGCCGGCTTCCAGAACACTTGGCGGCCGCATTCCGTGCGGCCATATTCCGAATGTGACGCCCATCTAGAGACATGACATGTGAAGACCATCCCAACGTGTACCAAACCGCCGCGCCAATCACATTCCCCGCTCCCCGTGCCGTGATAAAGTTTGCCCGTTGGAGGTGACGAATCACTTGGGCATCCATGAGCCGTGCCTTGACCGCAATCCGACACAGCGGGTTTCGAAATTCCCAGACCCTTTCAAACGTCCATGCAACAACCAACACACGTCAAGCTGCCTCGGATGGGGTGCTCGTATGCCAAATCCTATGCGTCCTGTATGTCTGCCCAGCTGCTCGGATCGCCAATCTGCCTTGCGCACAACCGCTACTGCACACCCAGCAGCCATGGCCTGTATGTTCACAACGCCTCTTCGCGTCCACAGACTGGAAATGGCCATGCTGCGCGGAACACGCCCGCTCCCTCTACTGACTGCGTAGACACCCCAGGGCCACGAACAGGCGTGTAATACAGACCACTGCCAGAAAATCGTCAGCGCAACGGGCGTCGTCAGTAGGGGGGGTGTGTGGTCTCGGAGCCTCATATCAGAAAATACTAACCTTGAAT